ACTGGTACTTGTCAAAGTGTAAAATAGAGTCCTACAATCTGTTCACTGAATTCATCAGTTTCGTACAACTTCTCACACTTCTCAACTTTTTAGAATACTGCTATCATACAATATTATGGTGATAATTATCAGGAAAATTGCGCATTTTCTTTATTAATTGACGATCATATGTTCGAATGTATAATATCTTGCACGGAATTAGAAGCTTCTCGAGTTTTGGAATTTGGAACTTTCATATTTGGGGACCAAACTTCTTTCCCAGCACTATGAAATGATTTTACCGAAATATTGAGATTTATTTGCTTTGATCAAAAAAAAAGTGATGGAAGTCAACGTTTACAAAGTGATAAATTTGCTTTGATATTTGGCTGTATGGGATAAGTTTATTCGAAATAGTCAGAGTTGCTACAAACAAAGTGCAAACATTACAATTGACAAACAACTCTTTCCATCTGAAGCCAGATGCAGATTTATTCAATATTTGCCGAATAAAACCTGACAAATTTGGTATTAACTGTACTACTACGTAACATGGGATTTCTATTATAAGAAATTAATAAATCAATGAATATAAAAATATTCTATTATTTTTATATTTCTTTCCTTTTTGAAGACCAGTCATTTCGACTGGTCTTGGTAGAAATAGAAATAGTTTCGTCTTAACTGTCGGTAGTTCTAATAGTTAAGTACGATGTCTTCTCAGAAGGGACAGTCGAGTGCAAAGGTTTAACTTCTTCGTCGCGCATTGTCGCGCGAGCATAGAGACGTATCGAAATATATCGTAGTCCCCCTTATCTCTAGTGCTTTCACGCTTTTTCGCCAAACAAAACAGAACGACGCGGCGAACTACGTTTCCTACGATCACGCGCAGCAGACTTTCATGGAAATTTCGAAAACGTCGACGAAGAAGGATCGATGGCGAGGGGGAGGGTGCGCGCATTCGAAAAGCGAACCACGAGCCATAAATCAAGATTGAACCGGGGTAGAAACCGATCGGCTGATACATCGCGCAGGACAGAACAAATATTTGAAGAGCGTAACAAGCGTGTCTGTCGATACACCGGCAACCGGAAATGCGCTTCACTCTGTCGCGTATTGCTCCGGGATCCATTGCGGGGAAACGGAACAATGAACCGTGCGGATTGCTTTTTGCGCGAAGAACCCAAGTCAATCATTCGTACGTGTCGTATCAACGTATCACCTTTATTTCCGGTTGAAATAACGAGTTTTGAAATGAAACAACTTGGAACATATATATATATATGTTCTAATTCTCGTGTCGGTGAATAAATTACGTCTGAATTTTAAATATGAATTTAATGTGTGTATCGCTTGGAAACATGTTATAAGCTCCGGCATTAAAGCTTTCGAATCTGTTCGCGTTCGTTCATTTATTAATGACGTATTCTCGTGTGTGTACACTGTTCCTTTTACTGTTTTAATATCGGTAACGGCATCGGAATAAAAACGCACGACTAATTTATTTATCAATTTTCTTTGAACGTTTCAGCGTCGTTTCAATTACGAAAATTGAAGCACAGCTTCGGTTGGCAACATCCCTCTCGTTTATCCCGCGCTAATCGCAAATTGAAAAATCGCAATGAGTGAAATTGAAAATGTTAGACGAACATATAAATGGCAATTAATAGCCGCTGTTGAGCCTCTCGAAAATATGTAGTAGGGGAACATCGAAGATTGCAGGTTCCACGTACCACGTGATTAAACAAAATATCACGACGTCGTTGATTCACAATCAACAGAACGTTAATCGACGAATATCGAAAGTAAATACATTAAAAGGCAGTGGTTCGTGGTCGACCTCCGGAATCAAGAAGCATGCCTGCACAACGCACACTAGTCCGCATACCCATCCATTATTCCAGTTCAACATTACGAAGATGCAAAGTAATTATTGATTTGGAAATATCCAACAACAACATCTTCACTCTGTTATTTGTGTAATCGCTGACATTTGCGGATACGTTTGCGAAAATTCCTGGAAGCTACTCGAACGCCATAACAACGAAAAGTGGAAGAGATAAGACGAAGAAAACAGAGAGAAAAACTGAAATGAATATTCTCTACAGCGTATAATCGAAGCGTATAATAGAAGTTTCTCTTCTTCGCTGATAAAAATATAAATATGTACAGTGGTAGATCACCCCCTCTCCTGTAACACGACGGATACGTTCCGCGTTATGCGAATTCCGTGTTAAGGTCGACTTACATGTTATTCGTTTAAATACAGACCGTCGCGGAACGATTCGGTATAAATCGACCTTTAATCTTCCTTTATATGAGTCACTTAAGTTTACACGCATGCATAGTTTACGTATGCATACACAAACACACATATTTATGAGGAACATGAAATGTACATTTGACGTGTCAGCCTCTGTACGAAACAAACGAATATTAAAGTCGAAAGTGTATTTTTCGTTCATTTCACGCGAGACAGAATAAGCAGTCGCGAATAAAAAACTTTTATTGAACATTCATCCAGTCTCGGAGCTATCCGTGATTAAATTCCAGTGAGACGTCGTCTTTTAACACGTTCCGTGCTCAAGCCATTTTTGCCTTTTGTTGTCGTTCAGGCCATTTATATTATCACACAATCTTTCATTACATCATCAATCGATAAGTAGTTCTCT